AAAATAATTGTTCTTACTCGGCTGTGCAGGAATTCTGAGCAGAACTGGTGGAGCTGCGGYGCTGGAGATGTTGGCGGTCACCATGAGGACGAAGCTGCTCGCCGGGTTGAGATGAAATGAACACATGAGGGAGTTCTCTGCATCACAAACAGCCACGCTGTCAGATGTGGAGTTTTTCTCCTCTGTGTCGTTTTCAGACCTGAAAATGGACGAAAATTTTTTTTTACCTGAATCTGAGAAATGAAAACATTTTTAAATCTAAATAATGCATAAAAATAAAAATAATTGAACATTTTGAGTCGTGTCTTCTAAATGTAAAAAAAAATCTTCAAAAAAACCCATCTTTTTTTCTTTTCTCTTTTTTCCTTCATTGTTGTTATGTCTGTGTAAGATCTGGTTTGACTTGTCTTCGTTAAACAAAACACTATAAAAGCCTGGTGGAAAACTCACATCTTCTCCTCTGCTGATCAAAGTAAACAGATGTTTAACCCCCCAGTGAGCAGTCGGGAAACACTCGGCCTCTCATTCATTCAACAGCAGAACTCTACTTTCTACTCACAGCCGCTGGAAGCGCAGTGCCAAACGACCAGGATCCAGTTTACCAAACGTCTGGCGGCGAGGCTTCAGCTCACAATTCACCTTCTCCCAATTCTCAACAATACCGCACAGTATGTCCAAACAGATGCCTGTTGAGAAAAYGCATTTGCATGTTAGAGTGACCCGTGACCTCCTGCTGGAGATTTCTTAGAAACCATCCCACGGTTAATGAAATATCAGAATTAAAGCTGCTTTTGTGAAAATATAAAAACGCATGAGGGGAAACAARCAAGCTAGCTGTAGGTGTACAGCTTAAAAAACAACAAGATTAATCCAGGGATGCTGAGGCTTTTAGGTGTTTTTGTTACAGAAAATGTGCCAGTTGTTGAAAGTGACAACACCAAAAGGTTCAAGTTARTTTTACAGAGTGTTAGCCTGTAAATTCAGACTGATATCCACCATTAAGACTAATATTCGGACTGGTTTTAAAAGATAAATTTGTGGTGTATGAATTTTTGTTTTTTGGAGAGCTTAAGTTGGAGTGGTATTTAAAGCCTGGTTTGATAAATGCACACATCTTTGATGTTTAATATATGTAAAATATTTTCTTTTTTTATCGTACATATAAT